TAAGGAGTTTGTGAGCGAATTATCATGCAATCAGCACAATCACAACTATATCGCTTTGTGAAATCAGACCGGGCACGGGTGGCCCAGTCGTCTTCAGCCCCACTGGTCGCTGTGCAGAGTGGAGTCCCTTTGGCACGCCAAAAGCCTATGATTGTGGGTTCAAATCCCGGTTTCGCCCAGGTTTTGTTTTTTAAAAATTTATTTCACATTCGCCCAGGTTGTTTCTCATTGTCAGCACCAAAGTGGTAAACGTCTGAGACCTGCATCTCTTCAGGCTTTCCTCCCCACACAAGCTGACATGCCGTGAGTGAGTGAGTTGGGTTTAACGCCGCTTTTAACATTATTCCAGTTATATCACGGCGTGTCAGCTTAATGTGGGAGGAAAGCCCGAAGTGATGCAGGCCTCAGACGTTTACCACTTCGGTGAAACCCACGAGCACGGGTATGGTGCTGACAAACCTAGAAACATAATTGGGGCGAACCGGGATTCGAACCCACAATCATAGGTTTCTGGCGTGCCTAAGGGACGCAACTCTGCACAGCGAATCGCGGCGCCTTAGACGACTGGGCCACCCGTGCCCCCGACACGCCGTGATATAACTGCACTGCTGTACTCTCAGTAAAGTCAGATCTTACAACCTATTCTGACCCACAATCCCAACACGTTCACGGCACTGAATGTAGTTCTCCTTGAACGAAAGCGGGAGCCTAGTGGTTAAAGCGTTCGCTTGTCACGCCGAAGACCCGGGTTCGATTCCCGACATGGGTACAATGTGTGAAGCCCATTTCTGGTGTCCCCCGCCGTGATATTGCTGGAATATTGCTAAAAGCGGCGTAAAACCATACTCACTCACTCACTGGAACGAAAGCCTCAAACCCGTGGTGCTCTGGTCTTTGAACCGTGAACTTTAATCGACTACAGCTATCAAAGGTTGCAAATAATACGCTCAGTGTGGATGTACAACTTGCCACTCATAGCACGTGACAACATACGTGTGTAGCTCACCGCTTATCAATCATGAGCCCAGGTAGGTTAAGATGAATATTGTGGTGTCACGGTAACACAAAGGACGTGATGATCGTCACATGCGTGACATTTGTTCATGGGTAGCCTGTATGACGTATGAGGCGAAGGACAGACGTTTTGAACCCACCTTCTAAGTGACGGATGCCATGTGGACCTCCTTCATCTTTCGTCATCAGGGACAAGCCGACACTTGCAGCTTAAGGAAAGGGTGATGACGTCTGAACAGGTGCAGCCATAACAGTAAACGAGCGAATTCTTAGAATCACATTTTTTGTTTATATTGACGTGCGACTATAATTATGTAATTGTGTGAACACAGCAGGTTGCGATTATAGTAAAGTGTGTAGCGTTGAATGCTATTTGAAGTTATGCACTTAAGGTAGAGGATACGGATGTGGATACGGATATGGATACGGATGCAGATGACAAGCGTACGGGATAAACACACGGGATTCAAATATGCAAGAAATTATTCTGAATGAAGTTTACGATGATAGAAACAGCACTTCATATCAAATGGTTAGAAAATTATCGAAGTCATAAACCGACTTTATATTGAAATATGAACCATGTAACGTATGTGGAGAAATGTCCAAGAAGCAAAAAAATACTATTTATTTATACCTAGTTTGCTTGGCATACGCTTCGTGTTCGAGTCTAGGTGGAATAGGTCCTAAACATACTATGGTTGGTACCAGTGCTAAAATAAAAACGGTACTTACAATGTGGCATTGAACTGTTCCACAAAGAGGTCTTAGTGCTAAGGCAATCGTAACTCCCATACTTTAACACGGATATACGATGGTCGTCTCGCTTAGATCTCTTTGTGGAACACTGTCCTGGTTGATTGTGTGTCAATCAACGAAACCTTTTAAAAAACTTTTAACTATGTCATGAGCATGTGTTTATGAATCATTATCAAATAGTAATGATACCAGGTGTTCGTGAAAAGGTGAACGTATCCTGCTCTGCCGGATAACACGATCTTAGTACGGTTTTATAAATAGTGTTTGATTGTCATGTCTTCGTGTTCGTTTTTGTGGATTTGGTATGTGTTTTTCGCCTCATGTACTTAGGTTTAACTGCATAACAGACCGGCGATACATGAACAGCTTTTTTTCATATTCAGTGATGAAATGTTTTAGAGTGAAGGTAATAAGTAGTGACAATTTAAGTGAATACGTACCACAGACTACAATATTTCAACGACATATTTTAATTGTAATCTGGTCTAGAGCAATCACACCCGTGGTTGACAGTTAGAGCACTGAACATGAACTCTCACGGATCCGGTCACAAATGCAGTTTCTTCACAGACAGTGAACCTCGTTAAATCAAACTCGGTTATCTCCAAATATCCTTTGAGACGGTGTTATTATTATGACTTGTTTGATAGGCATTACTTAGAAGTTGGCGGATGACAAGATAGACACAATTTTATGGATAACAACTTCTTTAATACTGTAAAAGGCGACGTTTCGGTATAGATCCTTATACCGTTGCTTGAGTCTTGCTTGACAACGGTATAAGGATCTGTACCGAAACGTCGCCTTTTACAGTATTAAAGAAGTTGTTATCCATAAAATTGTGTCTATCTTGTTATTATTATGGTTCCTACGAATCCTACATAATCGGTATTCCGCTTATCTCGAATTACGGATAAATCGATATGCATTCGGTGGTGCAAATCATTTCTGATAAATGAGCCTCTACTGACCAGTCCTTTTGGCACTCCCAGTCCCAATAACATTGTCCGAGGCTTGACACTTATACGAACTAGGGGTGGAGAGGCAGGGATAAAGGTCGTCACGCCAGAAATGTCTCATTTCATATTTCTTACATATATACTATCCTCACGCTGTCGTCAGTTATAATAACCAATTTCCTTATCCTTAAATCATGCCTATTTCCTTCACATATAATATGTCATTATATTTCATAAATACCATCCCAATAGTGACGACAGTTGCTCTGTTTCCTTATCAAGTATATGTCACTTTTGACAGGAGCGTTTTTCAAAATCATATCGCCCGTCACTCATGTCAGCTGTGGTCTCGTCAGATGTGTATTTCAACCAGTGTGTATACTATACCACGGCTAAAGTCTCGCTTGCAAACATTTCCCTTGCCAAGATTTGAAACGTCACTTTTCATCGTAGTATTTAAGAATGTACTGGGAGATATTTACCAGGAGCATGGTGTACCTATCACCCCCTCAGGTGAAGCCAGTTCACACGGGCGGAACGTGTAGATAGCACACGTATACCATGTACATAGCCGTCACTCATGCTCGGTTGTCTGGTAGGGGAGAGCAAGGGATTCCTTGTTCCTCTTTCTCGTACGTCAGAACCAGCTGATATAGGTAACGATTGGGCAACGTTGATAAAAGGGTTTTGTTCCAGAAGGAAGTCAGATAATGAACACATGCTGTCGGCAATGTGCACTCTCTGATGTGTATTCCACATGCTGATAAATACGTTTCATGTAATAGTTTCATGAGCGGTTGTGTGACCGTGCATCAAATTGTATATATCGTTATGGTTTTTAAGAATGAGAATCCTTCAATTGAACATATCTACCCTGAATCACAAATATGAAATAACATCCTTATAACGGTATTAAATCCGCCCTTGTTGTCACGACGATAGTACATAGTCAATAATAACGGTAAATATTTTGCCTAGTGACACAGTAATACAGTTCGGAGTACAAGTGCTTTAAATTCGTTTAATGGTTACGTTTAATGATAGGGAGACTTGACATTTAACCCTCTCGCACGTTGCAATTCTCCGCCCAGTACCCGCCCAACTGTATACATCAAGAACGCGATCGTGTACCTCCGCCCCCTCCCCCGCGTTTAAACCCTGCTGTTGTATCGTCGGCTTAACGTGCTGCCGTGAGAATCGCCTTCCTCAGTAGCGATATTTACTTCCTCATCAGATGGCTAAGGCCACATAGTTTCCCTTCGGCGTTGCCACCAATCACACAACACACCGCGTGCTCCCGACAATTTGTATGTTAGTAAACACTGAGATTTTCATTTGAACGAGAACTGTAAGATTGTTAAAATGGGCGGGGTACCTCTCAACAGACCTTGCAGAGGTATTTAAGATATGTACAATATTAGCCTATAAACATATCAAGCTATCTATCGCTGCCCCGCTATTACGCCCACTACGGGAATATATGATATCGACATGTGATTTATTGCAATATACAAATGGTTTGTTTTCTTTGCTGCTCGGGACGAAAAATGCACCCTCGCGGAAATCATTATCAGAAATTGTTCTTGAAAGAAAAATGGTCTTATTGGTGCTATCATTGGAGCTAGTAGAGTGTTGTCCATTTCACATTTGTCAGCGAGGCGTGCGGGACCATGTACAGCCTCTCTGATTGGTTGGTGATTTCGCTGTCACCTCAGTAAACTATTATAGTGAAATCTGACGTCACTGTAGGGAGAGGAGTCCCCAGTATGATACGCCAAGTTTATATTACAAATGTCTGTCGTTTTCAACAGTGCAATCTTGCGCGTACACAAAACCAGCTGATTTTTTTTTTCATGTAAATTTCATCACATTTCCGTTCATCGGTTCCCATCAATTACTAGTCAAGCCCAATCTTCCGTCTTAAATGGGAGTATCACTTAACGGAACTCGGTTCACATTATTTAAAAGGACGGGAATACACTTCAACGGTCAGTTAACCATCCAGAGAGACAAGTGACGGATTGAAATTGACAACTGCTATTGACAACACGCTATGAAAGATACCACATTGGCACTGCCGCTGGTAGCGCTTACTTTTGTTATATGTTGGACTCAGGGACACCTCAAATGTCTACCCTCTTCGGACTCTTCGGAATACAGAGAGGTTCTCATTAACCAGTTTAAAAAGAAAATCCTCAAGAGGCTTGGGTATTCTTCTCCGCCAAATGTCACCGCTATGCCAAGTGATCAACTTAGAAAAGATATGGCTCACCAATTTATGATGCAGCGAGGAATACCGTCAATTGATTCACAACAGGAAGGTGAAAAACTCCGCACATACAGAGCACTGAGTAAGTCTTCATTCCTTTTAATTCCTAGTTTTATCCTCTGCCTGACTTCCAGTTTTATACCCTAAGAGATAGAGTGCATTGATGCATAAAGTGCTTATGGCAGTTATCTATACCATCATGTGTGACTGGTTTCGCGTCATTTAAATCTAATATTTATCCTTTTCGTTTTTCATAATTTAACATTGAAAAAAATATGGAAATGAATACCTATATATGTTTTTTTAATTCTTAAGTTCATAAAAAGAATGTGTGTGTGTGTGTGTGTGTGTGTGTGTGTGTGTGTGTGTGTGTGTATATATATATATATATATATATATATATATATTCGATATCAATCGGAATCTAATCTTATAATATTAAATTTTATAACTTTATATTAAGATTAAATGTCGCTCTATTAAATTAGGAATTCATGATGACCTTTCGAGAATCAATTACAATCCTTTATATAGAACATAGAATGCATATAGTACTTTTAATGACGAAAGCTGTTCAACTACACTAGAAATAGATGATTTTCTCTCGCGACGATATGGCGTCAACGGAGCTCCAGCAATATAGCACGGGTTGTTCTGACACCACACGCTATATTGTTCGGGTTTTACTCAAACATCAAACACACCAATATTGAATGTGATTTGATTTTGTAGAATAAGATACCGCCCGTACTTGACCATGTATCGATAGGTTACGATAACTGCATTCCAGTGTCGATGTTCGATGTGTTGGAGCGATGTACCCCTGACAATCGTTCCATATCTGTGATGACACAGACTTATCAGCGCGGAGTCGGGAAATGTGTATGATTGATAATCATGCCTGGTATTGATATTGACTTTTGTGACATGTACTTGACGCATGTCAGTATCACCTCATCTCATCTCAGTTTTAATTTCATTTCATTTCTAATGTTAATAGAGACGATATTCTAAACACATTTTATCGTTTAACTTGAATGAGTGAGTGAGTGAGTGAATATGGTTTTACGCCGCCTTTAGCAATATTCCAGCAATATCACGGCGGGGACACCAGAAATGAGCTTCACACATTGTACCCATGTCGGGAATCGAACCCGGGTCTTCGGCGTGACGAGAGAACGCTTTAACCACATGGCTACCCGACCGCCCCGTTTTACTTGAAGCTCTGTCATTTCCTTAGAAAGCCCCAGGCTATGATGTTTGACTATGGAATGAGATCTCTTTCACTCACTCATTTCAAATTCCGGTCTTCATGTCTGGCATTGTTCTGTTTGGGGGCAAGTCGACCACGTTACCGCATACGATGTACAGAGTGTTGTCCCTCAGTCGCGCCAGGATCCGCAGATTGCGAATTCGAATTCCAGATTTCCCTTTAACAGCATCATACGCGTGCCGTGGGTTTCACTGAAGGGGTAAATGCCTACCACTTGAATCAAGATGACATTTGAGTTCTGCAAACATGTTAAAACATCACACCACCTTACAAAACAGTTAACCCATGTCCTTGAAGACAGAACTATCAGCTTACAAAATCAATTCATGATTCAGCGGTCATTGGTTTAGCCTGTTGATAAAATATAGTTCTGATAAGCATTTTGCGACCCACAGTAGGAGAGACTAAGAAGGAGATTGGTTTATCGCTGCGGAGTAATCCTTTGTGACACGTGGAAACTTGTGGTGTTTAACGCGATGACGTCAAGGACGTGGCTCCAATGGTTGCATTAATGGAAAATGGTTTCGGTGCCAAGATAGAATATCTTAAGATGAATCAGCACAACGGTTATTGGGCACTAGAACGCAAGATGACATGCCCTTGTGTTTGCTTCGATCAGTGTCTCATCACCACCTACACGTCCAGTGGGACGGTACTAAAAAAATACAGTTGCTTCCGACTGTAAAGGGCACGCGGGGCAGTGGGTAGTTGTTCAAGCGTTCGCTTGTTATACCGAAGGCTCTGGGTTCGACTCCCAACATAGGTATAATGTGTCTTGCCCATTTATGGTGTCCCAGGGTTGGAATATAGATAAAAAACGGCGTAAAACTATACTAAATTTAGGGTAACCGACAAGTCAAGTCGCCTAAGGGGACATTATTTGCTTTGCGGAGGTGCGCCCCTTTTGCATGCCAGATCTTTTTTCCGGTCAATGAATCAGTATGCATTCGAATCATATTATCAACTCCCTAGGGAGTATACAACCCAAGCTGCCCTATGTGCCGCTAGAAGAGTAATGGTCATTGCCATCGCATCCTACCGGGTACCCATTCACTGCTGGTATTTTATATATTACACAAGACGTTATGTTGAAATATCAGTGACGTAACATGTTTAGGGAAATTCGTTTAAAGCAACGAATCTGAACCCTTTGGGAGGGTGTGGTGGGTAGACGGGTAGGGTGATCGCTTGCTGTACATACGCTTCGGTTCGAGTCTAGTGGATAGATCTTAAATACCCAACGCTTGTCACCAGAGCCGGCTTAACTGAACTCGGGTACGTACATGGTGACTTTGTTTAATTGTGCCTTATCGTACCCATACATGGATAATGACGGGGGCTATTACCACTGGTTTGTCTGGTTTCAGTGAGTGAGTGAGTGAGCGAGTTGGGTTTAACGCCGCGTTTAACAGTATTCCAGTTATATCACGGCGTGTCAGCATGATGTGGGCGGAAAGCCCGAAGGGATGCAGGTCTCAGACGTTTACCGCTTTGGTGCTGACAAACCTAGAAACATAACCTGGGCTAGCCGGGATTTGAACCCACGATCATAGGTTTCTGGCGTGCCCAAGAACTCAATTCTGCACAGCGAATTTCGGCGCTTGAGACGACTGGGCCACCCGTGCCCCGTCTGATTTTACAAAGTGATATAGCTGTAGGAGTGCCGTTTGCATTGAAAACGAACATCCATTCGCTCACAAACTCCTTATTACCGCCAATCTCCCGAATCTCAGCCATTACCTATGTCGATATATCTAACGCGATCCCCACACACACACGAATGTATAATATTGATATCACGTAGTTCATAAAGTTATTGTAGAATATTAGTAGAATCATACCAGATCTCTGTGGCTTTATCTTCCTTTTAGACCGACGAATTTATTTTTGTGTGAAAAGTAAACGATAAAATTTCTTTCAAATAACTTAAATGACTAATTATTAAAGGAAATCACAACTTCATTAGCTTCATGTGAAAATATAAGTAATGTGTCGAGCAAGGTTTATTTCAGTATATATGAATGAATATAAATAAATGCATGCATACAAATAGAACGAAAACGACAGTCATGTATCATATGGTTATTAATATGGCTGACTTGTTGCTTGCCCCGAGGATTTAACGGATTTAAAGCATCAATGGACCGATTAAGCGGATTATAGGGAAGCGTTCCCAAGATACGTGCGCGGGATCTTTCTAAAAAATGCCATGATGGCATATACATTGACTATATATAGACCGTCGATCAATACCAATGCTAAACATTATCCCAATTTATCACACAGAGATCTGAGAGTAAAATCAAAATGTCAAGTGTTCGTTTATTTGCACAGCGCACGTCTGTCATTGAAGCCCATCACAAGTTGCGGCCAAACGAACGGGCTGTGTCATTGCAGATGCTAATCTTTTACGATTACTGCAATAATACACTTGTCGTCGAGTAACAGAACGATAGCCCCTTTCGTCTTGATCAATAGATACTTATTATAGCCTGAAATCGGAATAAATGTCAATGGAAGGGTGCGTTACTGTCATAGCTGCAAGGTTGGATAGTGGGGGGCGGAGAATAGTTTTAAAGAGAGACTCTTCTCTGTGACGGGGTATGCTACTGTCATAGCTGCAAGGTTGGATAGTGGGGCCGGAGAACAGTTTTAGAGAGACTCTTCTCTGTGACAGGGTATGCTGCTGTCATAGCTGCAAGCAAGGTTGGATAGTGGGGGCCGGAGAACAGTTTTAAAGAGAGACTCTTCTCTGTGACAGGGTATGCTACTGTCTAGGCTGCAAGGTTGGATAGTGTGTGTGTGTGTGTTGGGGGGGGGGGGGGGGAACAGTTTTAAAGAGAGACTCTTCTCTGTGACAGGGTATGCTGCTGTCTAGGCTGCAAGGTTGGATAGTGTGTGTGTGTGTGTGTGTTGGGGTGGGGTGTGTGTGTGTGTGGGGGGGGGGGGGGGGGGGGGTGGGGGAGAACAGTTTTAAAGAGAGACTCTTCTCTGTATGGGTATGCTGCTGTCATATTTGCAAGGTTGAGTCTGGACCAGGCAATCCAGTGATTGATATTATGAGCATCGATCCACACAATAGGGATCGATGACATACTTCAACCAAGTCAGCGGGCCTGACCACCCGATCGCTTCATTGGCCTCTTACGACAAGCATGGGTTGCTGAAGACCTATTCTACCCCGGATCTTCACGGGTTGCTGAAGACCTATTCTACCCCGGATCTTCACGGGTCTAGGCGTCTAATGGATCAGGTGGTCCGGCTCGGTGACTTGGTTGATAGAGTATCCTGGTTCACCGACGACATGGATCGTTGCTCACAATATCGATCACTGGATAGTCTAATCCAAACTCGCGATTCTTTACAGGAGGGGGCTGGGGGTAATTGCCTAGTGCGGCGTATAACAACAAACAATCCAATTATGACTGAGCTATTCCACACTGTACTCGGAAATCAACAAACATTGTTAACCCCGGACTTATATACTTAAGCTAAAAGTAACTTAATTTAACATTTAAATTGATATCAAATAAGCTTGATGAATGGTGGGTTGCCCTTAAAATTTTAGACACAAATACAAAGATCAATGGAGTCAATATTTAGACATAATTAAGGTCCCAGCAATTTACCTTAAAGATCACAAGCATATTTATACAGGATTGAAGCTTAAAAGGTAAAGTTATGTGATATTTAGAGCCCAGTGACTGGACCCATATCCTAAATATATCTATTTCTGTAGTCTTTAACCTGCGGCTTACGAGAAGCTGGCGATCTCATTAATAAACGTTCAGTCTTATAGAGGAAATTGG